GCGTACGTGTGTGTAGGAGGAGGAGGAGGAGGAGGGAGGAGGAGGAGAGAGAGAGGAGGAGGAGGAGAGGTAGTAGGAGGAGGGAGGGAGGGAAGGGGAGGCAGGGACAGAAGACAGACAGGGTGGGAGGGAGGGAAAAGGGAGGGAGGATGAGGGGCGGGAGGATGGGAGGGAGGGCACAGGAGAGTCATCACCCAGCAGCCAGGGAAGAACGCCTTTCCGTTGCCAACGCCCTACACAAAACAGCCAAAACAGCCGCGGGCCAGAGAGAGGGGGGGGGGGGGGACAGACTTCCCTGTGCGCAGGACACAAGGGACTTGGGAGTCAGACCTGACAGCCTCTGAGGTCTCCAGCAGTCTGGGCCCCTGGCAGTTCCCAGGGGACCGAAGAGGTGGACTTGGTGGGGCTCCTGGGGTGAGCTGCCCTGGCGCTGACAGTGGGCGTCTCCCCCCCAGCTCCCAGCTCTGAGGCCTCACCCCCGTGGCTGGGTCAGCTGTGGTGGGAGTGCTTTCAGCAAAGAAACTGGCAAATACTACAAATCAGAGCTCCCCCCCCCCGCAGCCCCCTGGCAAGCAGCTGTAAATGTCACAGCACAGCACTGGGGCAGTGAGCCCTTCGGGGGAGGAAAGGGTGGGGTCCAGCCTGGACCTGGCAGTCGCTTCTGTGTTTCCTTTCCAGAGGATCATCTCAGAGAGAAATGACTACTACAACCAGCTGAAACAGAAGGGTGTCAAAATGCCCCCCCTGCAGCAGCTGGAGATCAGAGCCTCGCCCAGCAAGTCCAAGAAGATAACCTCCAAGTAGCCCCAGCCGGGACCCCCGGCACGGCCAGCCCAGTGGAGGCCAGGACCCAGCCTGGGGGCACGCTGTGTCAACACCCCCCTCCCCGCCCCACCCTCGAGCTGGGATTCAGAATTACACCTGCTGTTGGCCATGCTCTCACCTTGCCCTTCACCAGGACTCACAGCTGGGCTTCGGCTACATCGACACCCCCCAATTCCAAAACTCACTCGTTGGGGGTCTGCATAGCAGCCTGAACCCCGCTTCTTCCTGGGGAGACCCCACACCGAGCAGGGTGCCCTCTGGGGGTCCCAGGTGTAGGAGACTTGGTCTGGGCTCCTATGCATTCAGTTCAGGCCCGCAGTGGCCTTTCTGTCCCGCCAGCTGCGCACACCTGCGGCAGCTCCCCTGCAGGGGGGCTTCCATGGCTGGGCTTCCCCTGACTGGGATACTGCCTTGCTGGGGCGACCCTAGGAAAGAAGGTGGGTCGGGGTGCAGCACTTCCGTTCCCATCCATCGCTCCTAGGATGAGAACTCCACGAGGACAGCTACGCTTGTCTGTGCGCTTTCCGGCACACAGACACCTGCTGAACGGAGTCCATCCTCCGCCTCTTCCCTTTGCTGGCCACGCCGACCTGTCCACGCATCCTTTCATTCGCGCAGCGCGGGCTCGCGGAGTAATGCCCGGTGCGTGGCGGTCCAGCCCCGGCTTCTGGCCGCTTAGAGCGATGACCTGGGCCGAGCTCCACGCAACCCCGGGCGCCCCCGCGAGCCGCCTGGTGTCTCGGTTCTAACCAGGCACGCCGGGACTCCTGAACCCGCTTCTCCGCTGACCCCTGTTCTCGTCGGGGGTCTGGTGGGGGAGGATGAGTGGGGAGGGGGGCTCGGAGATCCTAGCTGTGTCCGGGCCCAGGGGACGTGAGCGCTCTGCTGCCCCTGCGGCCCTTACTGCCCCTCACCGCTGCGCCGCGCACCTCCCAGAAGGCCAGGAGCCCGGTCCGCGCTCCCGCTCGCCGCGCCCCCTGCCGCGCGCCCCCCTCCTCCCCACGACTTCACCAGGCTCCTCCCGGGTTTCAGGAGCCCGGCGGCCGCGCGCACCCAA